ATTGTCAAGCGTGAATTCAAGTTAATACATAAAGGTAAAGTAATTACTATACCTCTTTCAGTACATAAGTCCCAGAGTGAGATATTTAAACTGAAAATCAATATGACTTTTCACAAGTATGATTCAGTTCAAGTATCTACTGATTCTTCTAGTTAGTCTAGTAATAACAATATATTATTAGAGAAATGGTATGCTCCTGCAGGTTTTAGCCCAAATTTTAGTCTATCTAGTGAGAATGATTTATTGCAAAGCAAGTCATTAGATGATGAATTAAAGATTTAAGACTCTATCTCTTCTCCAAAGCATGACCTGGGTCTAGACTCGAAAAGCCAATACCCTGCAATAAAAAAAAAATAATTAATAAATCACAAGTTCAAAATATTTCTATATGGGAAAAACATATAAATTAATTTTTTTTATTGCTTTGCAATGACTCTTTGGGTCTAGATACATCAGAATATAACTTACCATCTTTTTCTTCTAACTGAAGAATAAGATTATATATAGTACCATTTCTGATTAATTTTTTTAATATAAGTTCAAATACTTTTGTACTCCAATTAGCTATAACTAACTTAATTTGATTGCATTCTATATTTTTCTGTTGCTTAATACTTTTTAAGGTTTCTTCAGTAGATTTAATAAGTTCTTGACGTAAATTATCTGTAGCTTCTTTGATTTTAATATTAACCTCTTCTTCAGAGTATTGTGGAGCAATGTCCCTTGGGGTCTTAATTATTTGGATATTAGTATTGCAAAGCAAGCTATTAGGAGCCTCATTGAGACTAACTCTTCAGATCTTAAAACTGGTGCTTCTATTGCAGAGCAGACATCCTGAATAGGATTATATTGATATTTTTTTTTCTTTGATATCTATCAACTTAATATTTTAAAAATACCTCTATAATAGGGCTAATACTACTGGCTTCACTTTCTAATAATGGATTTTTTTTTCGAGTTGTAAGCCGATTCCATCTAGCTTTTATTAATGAAAGTGGTAATTGAGTAAGAAAATTTGAATAATTTTTATGGAAAGTCATAGAATATTATAAAATATATTTTTATGAAAAATTATAATCTTTCAAAAAAAGTCGATAATCACTGCAGAAGAGAACACTTTGTGTTTAAAATTTCATAAAATTCTATAAAATTTCATAAACAATTTCTATAACAAAGGTTTGAAAAATCTTACTTCACAATACTCCAATTCCATTTTAATAACAGTTACCAACTTTATATATTAATATTTTTTTATAAAAATATAATCTCAAGGTCACATATTATATTATACAAAACACAGTAGTAGCACAGTAGTCACATGACATTGTGACCTGTGGGTCACGTACTACCAATTTGAAATACCAACTTGAACTATTCCATGATGATTTGGTCATGTTCAGTTAAAATGCGATTTCTTGATTTTTTTACATTCAAAAAATAGCAATAGGGCATGGTATACTGATACCTATAAACAAATATGTGCACTATTTTAACATGACCACGTAGTGCTAATTTAATTTTTATATGCTGGAAAAAAAATAAGTATTGTGGGACCGCTTTTTATTTTGGTCTAAGTTGAGGCTAAAATAGCGATCACAAGCTATTCGTGTTTATATAAGTTATAGATATTAATTATTTTTTTATTACTATCACTACGTAGTATTAGGAAAATTTTACGTAGTTATGGCTTGTGTCACTCTTCTGCAGAATTAATTCTCACAGTCGATTTTTTTATTAACGAATACGTATTATGAATAAAGCGAATAATGTCTAGACCCTTTTTCTTACTTTATACGATCCTGCAATAAGAAAGTGACTTAAAAAGACTATAATAGTAATACGTATAATGTTCTTAATTAGTAGTATTACCAAAATTCATATATTGTATGAACTCAGAATCTCTGCCATTCTCTCGGGATTGTCAGATCTAAACCTACCTTAAGCGATCGTTGATTATAAGGGGGTTAATTTCATAGAAAAATGGTAAAATAGATTCAGTATTTGGACCTTACAACCAAATAGACTTGCTTTACATGGTGTGATCTAGATTGCATTACCTTAACACAATTACTAATCATATAACTTTTTTTCTAGCAAGTTAGATCTAGCTGAATGGGCGGTATAAAAATAAGCAAGTTTTTACCTTAAGATAAGTCTCATGAAATGAAGATGCTATGCATCTAGCAATAACGTTATTTTTGCTCTTATATGTATTTTTTGCCATGTTAACTCTGTTGAAAACAAAGGTTACACATTTGCAATTTATTTCCAAGGTCAACTATCGTATATTGTTTATACAAGATTTTTTATTTCTAAGTTAATTTCTACTTACTATGGGTTCTTTTATATTTCTTGCAGAGTTCCTTAAATGGCAATTATTAACCTTAACTGTGTCGTTAGTGGAAGAAACCCTGAAAATGAAACTTTTACAATTGAGATTTCTGATGATAAAAAGTATAAATTGCTCAAACATATGATAAAAAAATGCTTGGCACCTTTATTTGATTCCATCCCTTTTACTCAAATCACCCTTTGTTCATCTGCCGGTGGTAATATTTTTAAACCAATAATTAGAATTTCTGAAGACTTTACTACTAGCCCGATGAAAATAGCATTCATATTTACATAGACCCCCCAAGAAATTAAATAGTAAAAAAATTTTTTATTTGTATTCGCATCTGTAACAGTGATATATATATTATTTGTATATCATCGTTCCGGCAACAATTTTTATGAAATAAAGAGAGAGGTTTCGTGCTCCGCCATTTTTTATTTTTATGCGATTGTATAGATAAGTAGAGAGTACTGGCATACTGTGCTATTATCATATATGAAGCTTTTATCTCTGAAGTTATATATATTCGGTGAATATCGAATAGTACTCTTTTAATTCCTTATTATATTGATATCGAGTAGGAGGAACATGCATTCTGGTCTCAAACCCTCACTTATATTCTAAGTTTATTTCAGTCATACTTTCACGCTCTTTTTTTCAGTATTTATTATCCTGAAATTTAAAGGCAATATTATCTCACCATTCATTTAATATTTTTTTGGCATTTTTTTTTGAACTTTTGTTGCAAAAGAATAAGAGCATTTATAACTGTTTTTTTTTTAACTTAATTATGCATATACTTACCTTTACTCTTCTTTTTGTAGAAGTTTAGCATAGCAATAGGTAATATTTCTCCTACCTTTTTTTCTTCCAACTTCTTGTAAGAATTTAGTGAAGCAACAAATAATATTTCATATTTATCTTAATTCGTTCTTTTATTCAGCCTTCTATTGAAAATCAATAAAATGAGATCAATGATCTAGATGCAAAATGAGAATTATTATGTCTCTTTGTTAATGATTTGGAATTACCAGAATGTTAAATATAATAAATATAATGAAATTTTTTCTAATATCTAATAAGTAAACAATTAAAATTTTATATTATAAAAACGTATAATCAAAGTCATGTACCCTTTATAAATGACAATGATCTTTGACTATTCATGTAAGTAATATAGGTCATAACAAGTCATCGGTCAACATTATATACTATCTGCAACAATGTAGATTTATTTAAAGTACGATCTATGAATAAAAATAATGCTAATTGATATAAAAGTCACGTTAAAATAAGAATTTTAACGCAATGAAGGATATAAAACTTTTTATTATAATGAAAGCACAGATACAATCTGATTCTAAATATATTTCATGCTATGATTTTAATTCATTTTGTATCATAAAAGATAGAATACTATTCTTAATTTTTTTTCTGAATCTGCACTTCTTGATAATTATGCAGGATCCAATTTTTTACCGTTTTCAAGTAATTCGAATTATTAAAATAAAATCGCATAGCTCTATAACTCTCCCAGTGCCACCAACCGAACAAGTTTAAAGTATTAAACCATTCCAATACATCTTCATTTTTCAAACTTTGAATGACGTTACCATCAGTAACCTTAAGAACTTTGTTTTTCTCAGTGAGATCAGGACCTAATCCATATGAGAAAGAACGATAACAATTGTCTAAAGATTGAAAATTCGTATCTGACTTAAGGAAACTGGAAACTCCTATGAAGAAGGGTATTTCGAATTAAGCAATCTAAAGATAATTCATATAGTTTCGAACATGACATTTTTATATCTGAATTCCAAAACCATGTCTCCACAGTCCAATTGTGTTTCAGTGCTCGTTTTATTAGAGGTCTATAATCCCTATCACCGGCAATCAGAACTAAAACACCAAGATCATTGAATGCAATTATATCTGTTGCTGATATTACAAGTTCTGTGTCGACTTCCTTTTCACGGTAGCTTCGGATGTCCCGATCAAATATATTCACCTCAAAACCTTGATCCCTAATGCGGGCCCACAATGAATCGTTAGGAGGCGGTCGGAAACCGACCAAGAATGGTGCACCACCTAGTTTGCGTCCGCATTGAACTGCGGTGAGAAGTCTACCATGATCGATCTGAAGCTGTTTAAAGTAATAGGAATTTCTGTCAAAGTCGAAGGTACCTAACTGCTCGAGGTTTTCAACGGTATACTTTCCTTCAATCCAGATATTCGAATTATCAATAAATACGTATACAAGGTTAGTAGATGGCCTATCCATTAAAGATGTTCCCAAAATTTTCTTAATTAACTGTATTATTCTTCTGGCTGGACCAATAGGTAATCCAATTCGATAGAGATCATTTTCTTTCAAGAGAAGAAAGTCTTGACCGGCGATACCATTTTTCTTGATCATTTCGATATCACTATTCGTAAGATATAAATTTCTAGACTCTAAGAAACTAACAATTTGTGCAGGTGCCCACTCTTTAATTTCCTTGACTGAAGGACAAGAACTTCCGGTCCTAGTGTCTTGACTTAAATCGCTTGTTTGGTGTTGCAGATATTTGAATTTGCGATTAGGTAATTTTGTTAACCAATAATCATTCTTTCTCGTCAAAGCTTTGTTCAGGCTGGTTCGATTACTATATACAAGAAAACGCATATGGAACTTTAATTAATCAGTTTTTAAAAAGGTTAGCGACTAAATCTAAGAAATGTTATGTGAACATGGAAAATAATTATCCTTTATCACACGAATTGTTGTTTCACATAATAATCAAACATCTATGTTACTCACAGCATTTTTATTAAAGTGTGACCTAGCGGACATGGCTACACGTGGCACAGTAACAAGCACTGGATAGACAGAACGTCAGAAAATTAATAAACTATTGTTTTGACCATTCTTCCATTTGTATTTTGCGATATATCTTTGTACTCCTCATAATATTAATAAAAAGAAAACACGATATGCTATTTTTTTTGATAATATTTCAGAAAAAAATATCAAGTTGCAAGTCGCATCATCATAATTAACATTACATCAAATGGGTAGAGTTTCAATGTTTTAATCAAAAAATCGGTTGATTTAAGTTGTAGTGATAGTACATGTATTATAGATTATAAGAGATTGAAAATTCGGGATGCTTGATTAATGAAGCACTTAATTTTTTGTATTCTTTGAGGAATGACAATTTCTGGGTTGTCGTTATACCATACCTCAAGAAGGAAGATTCCATTATTGTGACATAAGCATCTTTTTAGGCGATCACGATTAACAATGTCTTCGAGTTTTTTAACATCCTTATACCAACTAGTATTATGAAACCGGTGCTGTCTTCCTTGCACTTCTAATGCAATCTGATATTTTTGAAAGAAAGCATCAAATTCTAATCCATCTAAGAAAGGAGGACGATACTCAATTATCGGTTCCTCATCAAGAATTTTCTCAGCTATTTGAATACATTTAGCTTGGAATTTGCGATTTTTCTTGTCAAAGGCAGTTACAAGATGGCTATATTCCGATTTCTTCGCAAATTCCTCTATAATTGGTCTTAATATTGCATTCTTTTCTTCAAGCTCAAGAATTGTTGCCTTAATACACTCAAAGAGGATTGGATACTGCAAACCGTTTTTTAATTTTACAATATCAACCTTATTTTTAGCATATTTCTCTATAATTTGTTTTAAAAGTTTGGTATTCTCGGTCTTAAGCTTTGCAGTCTCATCCTTAAGCTTTATATATTCAGCATTTTTAGTCTTAAGTTTAGCTTTCTTGGCCATAAGTTCTGCATTCTTAGCCTTAAGCTCAGTTAATGTGGCTTTCTCTTCTAATAAATCTAATTCAGATTGCATTTTAGTAATAAAAATGATTTATTTAATTTTTGAACTATTTTTTCCTGCCTAAATTACATATTTATCTTGATAATGAACAGAATTGGTGGGGATTCTTATAATATTATCTTTAACTGTATTTCTTTATAGATCGATTAGGTCATAAACCCCAGGCTTTGCCCGTTCAGTATCAGTCCACTACTTTTTTGCATGTTTTGCAATATAGGTGTGAATAGTGATTGCATTCATCACAAACCTTACACCCATGCTTCCAACCTCTAAAGATATGCCACTTTTCGATATAATTTCAATGTTTTTTATTTGTAAGTATGCTATATTCTTTCATTGTTATATATTAACAGAAAAATATAATGTAGCTAAAACTTTTTATTATATAAACCTGTAATATGGTACTTATGTTTGTGGTCTGTTTTATCTCTAAATATTTATATTTGAAAAAATATTAACTATATAATTTATAACTCTGCGAAGCAGTGACACTCTGTATTCTATCAATTACTAGTTTAGCTTATGTAGATATTCTAGATATGTGAGATACATATTCGTTTAGATATTTATCTGTGAG